GAGAGGTGGGTGTGGACTGCTGGGCTCAGAGATGGCAGCCTAGGCTGGGATCCCGCACAGCCTTGGGGAACATGGGGCACTGGCACTGGTTGAGGGAGCCAACAGAGAGATGGGAGGGAGTTCAAGGCTCACATGGCCTCCTTTTCCCATCCTGGGGACCACCATCCAACCCCACCATTGGCAGGGACCTGCCCAAGACTCAGGGAGTGCTTAGACTCTGTTCCTAGATTCAGACACATCTTCCCCGGGGTTCTGCATGAGATTCTGCTTCTCTCTAGACTGTGGTTTTAGTCTTATCTCTAGACTGCTCTCTCTGTTGCATAATTTGATTCTGTTGAATTGATGGTTTCTTGAGTGTGACAGAGGAAATGGCAAGCATGTGTTTTGGGGTGATTAGCATGGGAATGGGGGAGCTGACAGGACACATGGGTCCTCTCACACCAGGTTGTCTCAGGTAAGGGGGGAGCTTTGGAGTTTGGTGGGAAGGCAGGTGAGGAGAGCTGAGTAGATTCACACTGCATGGGTTCATCAGCCCTGGGGTACAAGGCCATCAGGGCCTCTCCCATCTGGGTGCTGCCCCAAGACCTGACCCCCAGCTCTGATCCTTCCTCCCAGCCTGGCCGATGGGGTGGCTTTCCATGCAGTTAGTTCTCCTGTAGGCTTCAGATATTCTCTGCATCACTGTCTCTCTTCAAGGGGCCACTCCCTCTGCAGCCTCCTTCTCCCTCAACACCCACTAAGGCAAGAGGCCTCAAAACTGTCATAAGGGCGTTCCACATTCTTAGGATTTTGTTTCCCTGCTGATTACAAGATAAAACTTGACAGGGGTAATGAATCTGGCTCATCGAGAGAAGTCACAAAGGTTCTGGAAATTCCACGGACATTCCTCTGCACAGAATTGTCAGTGGTGCTCAGTGATGTTATCTCGACTTTGATGGCCTTGCGGAAGGTCCCTTGTCCTTTTGTTTTTAGGAGGAGAAACCACACCCAGCCTCAACGCTGCCTGAGAGAGGGCCCTGAGGAGGCCTTCATTCCCAACTTGGCCCTGAACAATCAAGAATGGAAGAGAGGTCAGCTGTCTGGTGGCCCCAGGCCAGCTGGAACTGGTTACCATCTTCCCCAAGAGACCATCAGGGCCAGACCCAGCACATTGACTTTCTGATTCATCCCAGTCACTGCCAGAATTCCAGGCTCCCAAGGCTTCCCCTGTGACCCGGAAATTCATTCCCAAGTTCTCTGTATGCTTCCTAATTGGACCCCTTGTCTGATCCCTCAGCCTTTCCAAACCCTACCCTGCACTCCTGGGAACTCCTGGTCTAGCAACAGCTCAGGCTCTCTTCTCTGACTGTTCCCTTAATTCCTGTTAAGGGTTGAATTGCAACCCCGCCCCCACCCCATTCATATGCTGAAGTCCTAACCACCAGGACCTCAGAATGTGCCCTTATTTGGAGATAGAGTCTTTACAGAGGTAATCAAGTTCAAATGAGGTCATTAGAGGTCAAATGAGGTCAAAATGGACCCCTAAGGCAATAGAACTGGTATCCTCATAAAAAGAGGAATTTGGAAACAGGCATGCATACAGAAAGAACAGTCTGTGAATATAAACCTGCCATCTGCAAGCCAAGGAGAGAGGCCCGGGACAGATCCTTCCTTCACAGTCCTTAGAAGGAACCAGCCCTGCCAATAACTTGACTTCAGGCTTCTGGCCTCCAGAGCTAAGACAGATTTTGTTGGTTGAGCCACTCAGTCTATGCTACTGTGTTAAGGCAGTCCCGAAAACGATGATACCCGTCCAGCTCTGACTCAAGCCTGCCCTCCCCTGAGGACATTTGCTTCCTCTACAGCTCTCTCCAGCAGAGGACTTTTTCTCCCATTCCTGTCTTCTAAAATCCCCAGCTCATTTGAAGTTCACAGCATCAGACTCTACCCAGCTTCCTTCCATGTTGCTGGCATCTGCTGATGCTACAGTCGACCCCTGTCAATCACTGATGGCTTGAGGACCTGGTTTGCTGTCTCCTTCCCTCCACTCCTTAGGGCATCATCTCCAAGATCCAATCCATCCAGTACCTCAGCCTCTTGGTCACTCATCACATGAGTGGCAGAGCTGTGGTTCAGAGCCTGTTTCTTTCTACAATCCCACAGCCAACAGGTGAAGTACCTGGATTCTGGAGTCCATCTACCTGGGGTTGATTTCCGTCCCTGCCACCTAGAGCTGTGAGTCCTTGAGCGCTGCCATCTTCTAACCTCTCTGTGTATCAATGTCTTTGTTTATAAAGTAAAGATAAGACTAGTGTCTTCTTTATGAAGCTGTTTTGAGGACTAAATTAGAACATTCAACTAAGAAACTATGTGGCACATAAAAAACTCAGAATAAATGTGTAGTATTAGTATTAGGATTAATATAGCCTGGAAATAAGAGCAGTCTAGTAGGTAGAACTTTGTATCCCAAGAGGATGACAGCAGAGTGAGAGGACAAGTTGAGGAATTGTTTACTTAATTACTTTATATGCTATATACTTTATATACTAGCTACTTTATATACTAATGGTAGAATCAGGTCTGGAATACAGACTTTCTAAGTCCCAGAAAATGACAATGCAATAAATAAAATTAGTTTATATTTATTGTATAAGTCAAGGTCCGATCCAGAGACAGAAATTACATATTTAACTTTGCTGTGTAGCAGAAACGAACACAACATTGTAAATCAACTATACGTCGATAAAATAAACTTTATTTTGATTCATTTGTCTTACTTTTTAATTAATTTTCATTGGAGTATAGTTGCTTTACAAGGTTTAAAATAAATTTAAAAAAAAGAAATCACACGATTTATTTGACCAGAGAGAATCTGACATAAATAATTGTTAAGTATAAAGTTGTTAACTTGGTAACTAAAAGGTTAAAAAGAGAGAGCGAGAACTTTAAGGTATCGTGGAGGTAGCAACTGCAGAATGTAGCTACCAGCCCAAGTGCTGGGGGAAAAAAGGGAAGAGCTTGGAATTATAAAAACGTAGAAATTGAGAGAAGGGACCCCATTCAGGTGAAGCTCAGACGCCTGAAGAAGGGACATTGTTCAGCTGGTGCCAGTGTCTTGGGAGGTCGGGGGCAGAGTTGCCCAATGAAGCTGGTCCTGCCAGTGCTGGAAAAACCACAAAATGGAGAGGAAAGAATTGCCACGACTGGGGTGAGGTAGAGTCCCCAGAGTGAGGCTCATGAGAACAGCTAGGAGGCAGGAAGGGGCAAGTCCTTTCTTCCTCCTCCAGCCTCAAAGCATCTCTCTTGGGTCCCCGTTAACAGACACTAAGAGGGTACCAGCTGAAAAAGCAGAAATGTGGTTGGGGAGTCCCAGGCTCAAAATGGCAACAAAGCAGAGGACAGAAGGACTGATTTGGAGCTGAGAGACAATAGCTTAATAACCAGCACAGGCAGGTTATCGATATGGGAGGAAAATAAGGAAATGTGTGTGGCAGGGTGGGTTGGGAAGGGGCTGGGTTGTCCAATCAAAAGATGAATTTCATGTTAATGTCAATAAATTGTGCACTTATAATGGCAAGTTATAGCCTATATATTTTATATATTTATTGTATATTTGAAGGAGATACAATTTTTAAAAATCTTCCCTACCTGCCCCCCCGCCCCCCAAAAAAACATCACTGAATTCCTATGGCTAAGTTGATCAGGGAATCCCTTGTTTTTTTATTTTTAAAAAATTTTTTTAGAATTTTATTTATTTTTAAAATTTTTATTTTATATTGGAGTAGAGGTGATTAACAATGTTGTGTTAGTTTCAGGTGTACAGCAAAGTGATTCAGTTATACATATACATGTATCTATTCTTTTTCAGATTCTTTTCCCATTTAGGTTATTACAGAGTATTGAGCAGAGTTCCCTGTCAGTCAGTTATGGGGCATGCTCATGAATAAAAATATGTTCTCAATGTACTGTTAAGTGAAAATGTTGGTTGAAAAATAATACATTTTGTCCTCAAATTATAAATCATGTATTTTTGCAAATATAAGAGGAAATATAAATATAAAAATATAAAAGGAAAAGGCTGGAAGGGCATACATCAAAAAATGTCAAAAGTTTTTTTCTCTGGCTAGGACTATGGGTGATTTTTGTTTACTTCTTTTGCTTAGCTGTAGTTTCTAATTTTTTTTTTGCGGTACGCGGGCCTCACGGTTGTGGCCTCTCCCGTTGCGGAGCACAGGCTCCGGACGCGCAGGCTCAGTGGCCATGGCTCATGGGCCCAGCTGCTCCGCGGCATGTGGGATCTTCCCGGACCGGGGCACGAACCTGTGTCCCCTGCATCAGCAGGCAGACTCTCAACCACTGCGCCACCAGGGAAGCCCCTGTAGTTTCTAATTTTTCAACATGTATTATTTTTTTAATTATTTATTTTTGGCTGCGTTGGGTCTTTGTTGCTGCACACGGGCTTTCTCTAGTTGCGGCGAGCGGGGGCTACCCTTCCTTGCAGTGCACGGGCTTCTCATTGCGGTGGCCTCTCTTGTTGCAGAGCACAGGCTCTAGGCAGGCGGGCTTCAGTGGTTGTGGCTCGAGGGCACTAGAGCGCAGGCTCTGCCATTGTGGCACACGGGCTTAGTTGCCCTGCAGCATGTGAGATCTTCCCCGACCAGGGCTCGAACCCATGTCCCCTGCATTGGCAGGCAGATTCTTAACCACTGCGCCACCAGGGAAGCCCTCAACATGTATTATTTATGAACAGGGCAAGAAAAGAGAACCAAAAGCTTACTGGTCACTGAAACTGCTAATGTATCTAAAGACAACTGGACCCATCAGGAAGGAGGCGTAGAGCCCTTGGCAGGGCAGGCAGACAAGAGCAGCTATGGAGTCCAAAGCCATTCAAGTCCTATTCAGAGGATGGGACCCTGGGGAAACTAAGGCACAGATCTCTCCTGTGAGATGAACACCATCAACCATCACGCTAAATAATTAAACATGCTAATCACCCACTTACCTCCCCATTCCAGGCCTTGAGGATTAGAATTCATCTCCCCAGGATGGCTTGGAGAGAATACTGGATAGAGATTGCAAGTGTTTCGTACCCCTGCAATTATATTTCTTGCTGTAAATTGATAAGCCGAGGTGACGAGGAGGGGGAAGGGAGCGTGGTCTGGCCTGGAGCTTCTGGCTCTCAGGGCCACTGCTCTCTACCCTGACCCGTGAGGCCACCACTTGGGCTAGTTAATGGAAGACCTCGGGCCCCTAGGAAGCAGCGAGTTCCAGCCACTGCCTGGAGTTGTCATCAAAGACAAGTTTATTCCCCAAGGTAATGTAACCTCATCCTCTATGCAAAAGAACAAATTCTCAGAACTCTGAGACAGAAAGAAACACTGGATCACAAAGGAGAAATGTTCTTCCCCTGGAGCCATTTGTTCCCCAGCTTGAGACTGGGGGCAAAACTCCTAACAGCCCCCTATATCTCCAATTCTTGAACTTCACGGGGTGTCACAAAGAGGGAAGGTGCTGATGGATGGTAAGCGCTTAGATCAGTGTCAGGCACATGATAAAAGTTCAAGAAATGCTCATCGTGATCATTATTTCTCCGGTTTATTTCTGTTCCTACAACAGACCCGTGTGCCACCAGAAGGGCCACCCGGCTTCTGGGTGTCTGCATGCAGAGATCAGGATAAGTATTTGGAGGTAGGTTTATTCTCTGACACGCTACTGAAAGCCCAAGGGTCGAGATATTCTTTAAATTTCATGATCTTCAAATGCAACAACCCCAAGGAACAGTTGGAGGAAGGCCTTTTGTGATTCCTCGATTCTCGTGCCATTCCCCACGAGAGCACATTTGGTGTGTATTTGAAGCCAGTAACCTCCTCTGCCTAACCAAGGAGATTCTGACACTAGGCCAGAGGTAAAAATAAGATCTCGAACTTGTTCCAAACATGGCAAGCATCCACAACTGAACGTTAGAGGAATTACAGTGGACCTCTCTCTAACCCCATCACCATGCCAAGAAACCCAGGAATGGTGCGGTCCTTGAGTTTGACAGGAGAAAATATGATGTTTCAAAAATGAAGGGAAAATATTGGAAGGAACTGAAGCATTCAAAGAATTGAATTCCAAAAATAAAGGCAGATGCTCTCGTGGTACGATCAGGAGTGTTTAAAAGAATAAGACAGACTGCCTGGGTCCAAATGCTACTGTCAGCGGGACTTCAAACAACTTACTCAGTCTCTCCATACCTCCGTCTCCTCATTTCCAAACTGGGAATGCTATTTTCCTTTTTCCACGGGACCACTTGGAAGGTTCAGTGCGGTGATCCATGGAATGTGCTTAGAGCTGGCCCTGGGCAGAAGGACGTGCTCAACATATGATCCTGGATGTTTTTGTTTTTGTTTTATTTTATTTTTTGTTTTTCTATCTTTTTTCTTCCTTCCTTTTCTGTAGGTCACATTCTAGAATTTTCTCTAATTTAATTTTGATTTGTCTATACAGTTTTTGAGTGTATATCTCAGTACAGCCTTTTTAAAATTGAAGTATAGTTGATCTACAACGTTGTTTTAGTTTCTGGTGTACAGTCAAGTGATTCAGTTACATATATATACACACACACACACACACACACACATATATATTCTTTCTCATATTCTTTTCCATTGTGCTGTATTACAGGATACTGAATATAGTTCCCTGTGCTATACAGTAGGACCTTGTTGTTTATCTATTTTATATACAGTAGTTTGTATCTGCTAGTCCGAAACTCCTAATTTATCTCTCCCCCACTCCCTTTCCCCTTTGGTAACCATAAATTTGTTCTCTATGTCTGTGAGTCTGTTTCTGTTTTGTAAGTAAGTTCATATTTTAGATTCCACATATACGTGATGTCAAATGGTGTTTGTCTTTCTCTGTCTGATTTACTTCACTTAGTGTGATAATCTCTAGGTCCATATCCTGGATGTTTTTGACTGGGAGCAAATTTACCTCTTCCATACGGTCAGATTAAGTCAAGCAAATCATTTGCTATTCCTCAAGTATATTTTAATCTTTGAACCGTTCACCTGATAGAAGTGGATGCTTTCAGTGCATAGAAAAAATATTTTACTTATTTTTTATTTCAAAAAAAATTATATTTTTCCAAAAGAACTTTACTTTTCCCCTTTGGCAAGAGATCTTAACACTTTCCAGCTGTTGATATTTTCTGACTTGCAGACTTTCCATTGACTTCCTTTGCATCTTTCCTTAACTCTGCAGGACAGGTGCCAACAGCCTTGACGAGATATTCAGAGGAAAGTCTGGTTCATCTGGCTTCATCTGGCTTCATCCTCTGGCCACCCATTCCCAGAAGGCTGGCAGCAGTGGCCCCTACCAGATGACCTCTGCTTTCCCTGGGACAAGGGGGCAGGTAGCACCACTGATGGGACATCACCAGGTATCTTTTGGCTTCAGGTTGCAGAAATGTTTTGTCCTTTTTGTACGACTTTCATTTCATCCGTCCCACGTCGGTTTGTTTTTTGGGAAGCCTCTGCCCCACCCGCCTCTTCCGAACACCACCCTGATCTTCAGACGCTCTGTGACTCAGTCATGGGGATTCCAGGATTCCAATCGCCCAGGTTTCTGAGGTTATAAGACTTCAGCATCCACAGGAGCTAATGTTCCTTCTCAAAGCCCCCAGTTTCCAAACAGGAAGGACATAAGCCCCGGACCAGCGCCACCAAACATCCCAACGGGTGTTATTTGGGTCCAAGTGTACACTGTTTAATGTCAAATGGGTGAAAAAGTCAAACCAGCCTTACCGGAAACCTCCTGATGTATTCTGGACAGGCATGAGAGGAAAAGGACATGGCTCATAAAAGTCCACTTAACAGTAATAACCGCGTCTCCAGCACAGTGCTTGGGCGGTTTCATGTTTATAAGGGCATCTTTCTTCCTTGAGGGAATTGTCATAGGACGGGGTGGGTGGAGTGGGGTGGGAAAATATGATCACAGTGTCTGCGATTCCCTCCAGACTCCAGCCAACCTGCACTGCACCCCATTCCCCGCTGGACCATGGGCCCCAGCTCAAATGCTCAGAGTTTGTGTTAAGGCTTAGTGACTTCTTTTTAGGTGGTCTTCTTTTTATTAAGTCTGCATTTTTTGGGTGCGTGCTGTATGCCAGGGAATGTACAAGATATATTTCCTTATTTTCACAAACCCTGTGACAAAGGGAGGTACTATTATCGTGAGCCCATTTTATACAGGAGGAAACTGAGTCTCTTACCCAAGTTACGCAGCTAGGAGGTGATGGAGACAGGAGCCATGTTTTCGCTCACCGCGCCGGGCGCCTCCCCTGCTTTCACTCTCTTCACAGCCTCCCCCCAGCTTGTCAGCTGCTTCACTTTCCCCCCACCCCCTCTTCGCTTCCCGGTTGGCCCCCCTTCCTTCCTTTTGTCCATTCCTTGTTGCTCCTAAAGACAAACCTCCAAACCAGGACTATTGTGCGGGTTTACTGCACCAGCTTCTGGGGAAAGGGAACATTAGGCAGAATTTCAAAGGAGGAAGGTCCCAAAGTTTACAGGTTGGGAAGAGGGTTCCAAGTCTCTCGCCACAACAGCGCTTACTTGGATTCCTGCCTTGGTCTTTCTTCTCCAAGGCCAGGCTCACCAATCCACAACCTCATCCCGGAAAACCCCATTTCTATCACGTCCGTCAGCCAGAAGAATCGAGAAAACATATTAAGGTCACATTCACGGACTGCAGCCTTGGGCACTGCAGAGCATAGAAGTCACTCCCTCTCAGAAAATCATCCTCTTCCAATTATTATAGAGACAGGAAATGTCAGCCCTCAGTCCTGCCATGGCCATTCTGGAGCCGGGAGAGAAAGAATTGATCAGTCTCTCTTCATTTCCAAAAATGTACAAATTGACCCAAGGGAGGGTGCCAATGCTCTCTTAGCATAATAGATCAAATAATTAATTAACACAAAATGAACGCAAAGTTCTGAAGACTGGAGAATATGAATCTCCCATGGAAACTGACTTTTAAACTTTTTTAAATTGAAGTATAGTTGATTTACAATGTTGTGTGAGTTTCAGGTGAATATATATATTCTTTTTCAGATTTGTTTCCCTTAGAGGTTATTACAAAATATTGAGTATTGTTCCCTGTCCTATACAGTAGGTCCTTGTTGGTTCCCTATTTTATATATAGTAGTGTGTATATGTTAATCCCAACCTCCTAATTTATCCCTCCCCCTCTTACATTTTTAACCTCTAATATACCCTTAATGTCTTAGTGGTACATAGAAAAGAACATGTGTAACATGTATGTAAGCTACAAAGTATAACAAACAGCTGTGAACCTACCACTCACACCCTGAGTACTACAACACATTACCCACCATCTGTATCCAGCTGTCTTCCTCCCCTATGTATTCCCTGCCTCCCTCCCGGAAGCAACTTCTATCCTGAATTTTGTGTTTGCTATTTTTTCTTCATAGTTTTTGAGCTTTATAAAAATAGAATCCTATCTTCTGAGACTTGATGTTTTTCATTCAGTTATGTTTCTAAAAATCATTTGTGTTGCTGTGTGTTTCACCATTGTGCTCTAATCAATGAATGAACCTACTATTCTCTGGACGAGAGTTTAGATGGATAACCTCTGTTGGCGGTTATTGCAAAGAGAGCTGCCATCTCCTGGTCCCATGCAAGAGTTCACTCTTGGATCATAAAATACACAAATGTTCAACTCTCCAAAATAATGGAAAATGGTTTTCCAAAGAAACTGAATTAATTTACATTCCTCTTATTATTACTGAGCATTTTTTCATATATTAATTCGCCCTTTATTTTCTCCTCCCTGGTGGAATACATATTCATGTTTGTTGCTCACTTTAAATATTATAGAATTGTTTGTATTTTTCTTTTCAAGATGGGGGAATTCTTTAATATTTTAGATACTAATCTTTTGTCATTTATATACCTTGCAAATATCTTTTAGTTTTTGGCTTATCTTTTCCCATGCATCTTTTGATGAACAGAACTTTGTATGTTTGACAGAATGTAGTCAAATGTATTAATATTTATTTTTGTTTTATTTAAGAATTTCTTCCCTACTCCAAGATTAGGTAGGTAGTATTCTATATATCTTCTCAAAGCATTGCTTTTCTTTCCTACAACCTAATATATCTAAAACTGCCTTTGGGAATTGTTTGACTTAGGGATTCAGTCTCATTTGTTTGGGGTTCCGTACGGTTGAGCAATTTGCCCAAGTACCATTCTTTGATTTTCTTCCTCCTTTCCCCTACAGATCTGCAAAGCTACTTCTATCATATATCAAATATTATGTATGCATGGTATTCCTGGGCCGTCTGTTTTGCTCCGTTGCTAGATCGTCAATCCTTGTCCCAATATCACACCATTTTCTTTTCCATTGCTTTACAATGTCTTTTTTTTTGCGGTACGCGGGCCTCTCACTGTTGTGGCCTCTCCTGTTGCGGAGCACAGGCTCTGGACGCGCAGGCTCAGCAGCCACAGCTCACGGGCCTAGCCGCTC